TGAGGGTTACTAATGCTGATACTGACAGAGTGATTTGGTATCCGTAGCGAAAAGTCCCAATTTTCCAATTATTTTATCTACAATAGCAGATGAATTATTAAACTGTTTATATTCTACAAGTTTTTGCAGCTTGTGATTCACCTTCCACAATAATTTGATTTCACGCAACGGGCACTTAAATTTACTTTTGGCAAAATATATAAAGGAAGGGGGTATATTGGAGAAGGGGTGCTTAATAGGGACATGGTGCCAATTTCTTTCTTCCACATAAACATCAGTGTGATAGCCTTTTTATGAACAGTAACCGATGCTGTGACTTAAAAACTCCAATGAGGCTTCGTATAGTTATATGTATAACAGAATTCGTTCACTCTACATCAGTAATGTTCAATATAACGTCCATATGAGGAAGCAGACTTCATAATTCACTCATCTAATCACTTCTGCAATGGCCGGGAGACGCTTCCTAAAAGGGGAGGTTATTAGAATAGGGGCACTTATAAGTAAGAAACAAAAAAACAATCACATTAAAGGAGAAACGCTATTAGAAAGGGAGTGATTATTGGAAGGATGGCTCTAAATCAAATCACTACAGTTATGTTTTGCACATTTTAAGCTTAGTTTTAATTTGACGCTTTAACATTTGTGGATGGACACCGCATGTAGAATGTTCTCAAACGCATTGCCGATCTTTTCCGTACCTTTCTTGTATGTTCAGACAGTTGCTCTCTGAAGTTACTGAGTGTGCTAAAATAAAGGACAAGCTAAAAAGAGAAAAAAAGATAACCAAAACAAATTCAGATTATTACTTTAAGCGCCTCCATCCCAAGGTTGGGAACAACCGACCCCGGGGGTGGGTAAATACTAGTTCAGGTTGACTTGAGTGGAGAAAGAAAAGTGATGTTGACATGAGCCTGGGGTGTATGCAGTGTCAACTTGGGTCTCGAAAAGGGTTACCCGGCAAGAAAGGTTGAGCTGAGTTGATAACTTTATTTGTACACGGTACAAATTCCTTCAGCATAATTTAAAGGTATAATATTTAAGTCTGCCTAACTAAGCTAACTAATAATTAAATAAATATAGTATTACATGTATATAAGAACAAAAAACTATCATATCACTAAAGCTGCTTATCAAGGGTGCCGTGTCTCATTCAAAGCTGTAACGATGCAGTCCACGTTTAAATTTACTTGAAGGAACTGTAGATCGGAGTTCATGAGAAAGGCGGTTCCACAACATAGCATCCCTGTAGGAAAAACTTCTCTTTAAGTAGGGCTGGGCTGTGGAGGAGCCGGTTGACTCCGACTAGAAACTTTGTTTATCCACTAGAGTTGGGATACTCCTAAGCACTTCACGATACAGAAATTTCAGATAAGCATCGTCCTTTAAGGCCATTAGGTTCAAGCAAAGTTTAAGTAGAAAACCGGTGATATAAATAAACCACAATATTTAGAGAGGAAGCCACATCAGCTTTAGCTGGTTTTCATGAAGGTCCTCTGCCCTGGTCGAATTGGAATTTGGAGATATTGGTTTTTGTGGGGGGAGGAAAACCGGAGTACCCGGAAAAAACCCTTAGAGCAAGGCAAGAACCAGCAACAAACTCAACCCACATCTGGGCGGAATCGAAGCCCGGCCACATTGGTGGAAGGCGAGCGCTCTCACTACTGCCCCAAAATTGAAACGCTGTTGCGAAGGAAATCACAAAACCTAAACAGACCAAGCTGGAAGCACAGTCGGGCCATTTGGAGAATCACTAAACATAACACTACAATGTGCTCTTCTTACCTCCTTCTTTGTTGTGAGTGTCACAGGATCCCATCCAACAATCTGTCCGTCGGAACTGGCGCTCCATACCGTGGTGTTCCTGTGAGACAAACACAAATCAAGTTTGTTGAATTTATAGCAGTCAAAATAACAGGTGTAATTTACGACTAGTAAAAAGACAACAAAGCAGCGCATAAAAAAAGTAGCAGCACATGCTTGAATGCAGTGCTCAAAGTCTCTCATTTGAAAGTTGCAATCATAGCAAGCGTTCCCGTATGCAAAGAGTTTCATGCCTGCTGGTCGGCGGAAAATTGGGGTGATGGCAAAAAATTGACGGATTGGGGGAGGTGGGGTTGATTCCGTCGATTTTTTGCTCTCACCCGAATTTCGCACGACCGCAGTTTGCTCATCCACCCTCCCCGGAACGCTAACTATGCAGGCTATGTAGGAACACTTTGAGAATGCATAGCAGAAAGTGTTTAATATTTACTCAGCCATGCTAGACTCTATGAGAAGATACCTACCCTTGACTGTCGACAGTTTTGGTCATGTGTGAAATAGAGTCCCGATGTCCTAACAGTTGTTGATCGGCTAAAAAAATATTGGACAAAAATAACTATTGAAACTTGATGTTTATAGATAGTTTTGTTACCCGCAAACATTGGTATGAAACTTTTCAGGTGCTATACAGAACTAAAATAAACTTGAACGAGAAGATCCTGAAGTTCAACGCCGAAAACCTGTTCAGAATAGGTGGGGAAGGAACGTTGAAGGGGACGCAGATTGATAATACCCCTCGTCATAAATGGCCAACGGTCAACTGTTGCAGAACAACAGTTGAAAGACCACAGAGACTAACATCTGCGTCAAGAGGACAAACTGCCTACGATAAAAACAACAACAACAACTTTGCCTGGTCTTACCTTTCCCAGTCTGCGTGTTGATGACGTAGATAGTGGTATCCAAGGAACCAGCCCAGACCTGATTCTTTCCAACTGCCAGCAGGCAACTCTGTAGGAAGATATAGTCGCAAGTAGTCATACACCCTGCGCCAGAGGGGCAGGGAGCGGAGGGCATAGAAGCGGGGGGGGAGGGGGGGGGAAGAGTCATTATGCAGGCTATTATTCCTTCCAGGCAAGGATTTAAGGACGTTGGCCCTAATTGTTTCTATGCATCCTTTCTGCGCACGCAAATTCACTCGCCATGTCATGCATCGAGCGGGTGCTAAGTAATAAAATGAACAATGATAGCCTGGCAGATGGCCATTACTATAGCTTTGCCTGGATTTAATGATCTTGGACATTCAGTGACCCCTATTTTTTTCCTTGGATGGATCATTTTCTCTACTGATTTTCTAAGTTTAGAGAAAAAATGAAGAAAATCTATCGATTAGAAGTTTGAATTTTTTGCGAAATGTACCATCGAATTCCCTTCTTCTTAGCTCTTCATTTATCTGTGGGGCAGTTTCAAATGCCTCTTGAAGGGTTAAGTTTGTGAAAATGTTGGCAACATTTGGAATTATCTACGCAACAGACCCACTTCTACAAAATATGACTAAGATTGTTTGCCTTTGTTGACTCACCTTCAATATTTTAACTATAAACCCCCGTAAACCACGCTGAATTACGATTTTTCATAATCAGGGTAGTTTTCCACAAGCTTTATCTCTGAAATGAATTTGGTGACCCCTCATTTTTTTTGGCATTCCTCACACAAGTAACTCATTATCTGACTGCAGTAAAAATTTAAAAAAATCTTTCGACTGGAAAATGTTCGCACGAACTTCCTTAAGGCAGAACAAATGGCTGTGTGCTTCTCGATATATGATTTAAGACACTGAGGGAAACAAGGGTCGCTTGCATTTTTGTTATTCCAGTAATCTCACCAACGCTTACAACAGTGAGCATTGATTTCTACCCTTGTTTCAAGGGTCTCTCATATGCATCCTCCCGACCCCTGTCTCCGCAGGGGGAGAGATCCTGGGAACGAGGTTGGTTAATTTCTACCATTTGTTATCAAAATGTTGCGCATCTGCCAAAAAAAAAAAAACCGCTCAGAAACTCATTTCACCTGGCCCCTGTTGTTCGAAGGCTGAATAACACTATCCACCAGGGCCCAGCAGTTCAAAGGGTGGATAACGCTATCCACCAGATGAATCATTATCCAGCGGATAAATGTTAACAAAACAAACCACGCCATCCGTTAGATAGTGATTTATCCACTGGATAGTGGTTTATCCGGCGGATAACGCTATCCACCTTTTGAACAACCCAGGTCAGATAAATAGGTATCCAGTGGATAACTGTCGACAAAACAAACCACGCTATCCGCTGGATAGTGATTTATCTGGTGGATAGCGTTATCCACCTTTAGAATAACCAGGGCCTGATTATTAAACCTAATCGTAACAGACAACACAACATGAGTCCAAAGTATACCAAGTAAATATGTATACGTTACACATACCACTCTGTCTTTTGCATGTCTCATGTGTGTCTCATATTCCCACTCAGTTGCGTCTGTCACCACAACAAAACCAGACCCCTGGAAAAAAAAAACATAATTCAAAGGACAGTTGAATATAAAAACCACTAATAAGCTTCCACCACCGTTTAACAATTGATTCATGCTTTAGCATGCGTCTTCAAGTTATGATGCCTTGAAGAAGTTTGGAGAGTACAAGAGAAGTACAGCCCAGAGCAGCTCCATTGAGCTTCTTGAATGCCCCCCATACTTCCCAAGTGCATCATAATTCGATGATGCACAGCGCAAAGCACATACATCAATTGTTTTATAACATAACCAATGGAAATAAACCTCTGATGGAGTGAAATTTACTTTGTCATGTCATGAGCGTGCGTTGTTGGATAACGAACCACACAGAGTTTGTTTATAGTTTGATAGAGCGGCTTTGCTAGCTAAGTCATAAGTCAGTTTGTGGTTGGTACAATTTATTATTTTTGTTTTCTGATATATTTCATATCATTCGATTCTAATCTCTTACCATAGCACACCAGACCTTCGGTCCACTTTCTTTTGCTGAAAACCGACAAAGAAGGGTAGTTTTAAACGTTATGTACTAACTTTTAGACTGGAGTTACTTAGTGATTTGCCAGAAATGTTTATAAAATTGCTACTCAAGCTTAAACAGTATTGGTCTTCAGAGCCTCCTAACAGAAAGATCGACTATGGTATGGTAGGTAGGTTAAATGCAATCTAATCCTACAGGATCGGCGTGGGCACTAACCCTAGTTCTGTACTGGGGGAGTAACTAAGAGTATTGCCTCTCCCCCAACCCCTGGATAAGATGCTGCACCATCACAGGGTTACCCCCAGCATTTTGTTACGTTACCCTAACAAGCTGTTATGGCCATTTACAAACCTAGGTGAAGGGAGATGCCCAAGAAGTGTCTTGCCCAATAACACAAGACAATGACCCCAGCCAGGGCTTGAGCCCAGATCGTTCGATGCGGAGTGCGGCTAGGTCGTCTCCCACAGAAGTGTAATTACGTTCTGATTTAAAAAGGACCTAACAAGGCAAACTGGGCTGGGAAATAAAGCCTATCAAAGGAGTCGCACTACTGGCCTAAAAAACAATAGAATCTAAAACACTATAAAAAGAACACTTAAAAACAACTGAGCAGCTTTTGTAAAGCAAAGAAATGAAATCAGAACTTTAAAAGAGGTGTTCGCTAAGTGACTGTGCAGTTCACTACAAAGTAACAATAGATTTTGTGACTCACAGCCAGGCACGTATAGAAGTGCCTCTACTGTTGTTTTCTCCATGTCTTGAGGTGACGGGCTCACTCTCTTCCAGAGCGTCTTTAAAATAAAAAGAAATACCGGTAACATACAAGTAGTAATCAAAGATTAGAGCACTGCGTTCATGCGCGTATTTTGCATGTTTGGTCTACTTTGGTGGCATTCAAAACTAAGTTTGATCGAATAACAGATAATGGTCTGCACGTGAAGTTGAATCCCATAGTAAAAGAGTTTTAAATTAATTAAGTGCATTTACTTGTACTGGACAAAAATATTTTCCACGAAAGGCATTTGAACTGTTGGCAACACTTAGAATTCAATTTCAGATCACCAACACAAACATTACATGAGAAAATAGTTTTGTCAAGCGACCCTACAAGAGAGCACATCGCCAAATGTTTTGTATTTGTTTACAATGCTCAAATTTACATCTTGTTTTCACAACCATTCTGATCACATAACACGGTCTTTTGGAGAGTTATACAACACGGAAAATTTGTTTTCTGACAACCAATTATGGCCACTACAAATTTGCTGAGCTGCAAATCGGAAAATTTATTTTCTGACCACAGATCTGAGGGTCATCATCCCACGGCCATTTGCTGAGCTACACGGAAGATTTGTTTTATTCTTATCAAAAACTCAGGCCATTTGTCATAATTTGCAATTGCTCTGGGGGTAGGGGGGGGGGGAGAGGAAATCAATGAGCAAATCCGTCCGAAAAATTCTCCATATAAACTGAATTATGATTGTGTTACACTATGCGAACGCAATAAAACGAGTTACATAGTCACAGAAAGCCCTCGTTCCCATCGACCCAAATTGAGACTGAGGGTTACTAATGCTGATACTGACAGAGTGATTTGGTATCCGTAGCGAAAAGTCCCAATTTTCCAATTATTTTATCTACAATAGCAGATGAATTATTAAACTGTTTATATTCTACAAGTTTTTGCAGCTTGTGATTCACCTTCCACAATAATTTGATTTCACGCAACGGGCACTTAAATTTACTTTTGGCAAAATATATAAAGGAAGGGGGTATATTGGAGAAGGGGTGCTTAATAGGGACATGGTGCCAATTTCTTTCTTCCACATAAACATCAGTGTGATAGCCTTTTTATGAACAGTAACCGATGCTGTGACTTAAAAACTCCAATGAGGCTTCGCATAGTTACATGTATAACAGAATTCGTTAACTCTACATCAGTAATGTTCAATATAAAGTCCATATGAGGAAGCAGACTTCATAATTCACTCATCTAATCAGCCTATTCTATGTCAGTGTTTTGTGTATCACTTCTGCAATGGCCGGGAGACGCTTCCTAAAAGGGGAGGTTATNACCTCATCGACTGATGAAATTAATTGGAGGTTTCAGTAAGTGCCACGGAGTCTGCGGCAATAATAACAAAGTTTCTTTTGTCACAAATTTACTAGTTCTACATATAACTAATGCGGGAAAGTTTCGGCTGAATATGATCTTTGGGTTCTCTTTCATAGAAGAGGAAATAAACAAGCTGCTGAGGAGAAGCAATATGTTCAGATTCTCTATATCAACCCTGGCAAACACACAATAGTTATAAAACAGCAGACGACATTTCCTGAATAGAGCTAGGGAAGATTCCAGAAGATACACAGTCACAGTAACATTCTTTGGACTAAAAAAAGAGAACTGATGTTACCTGAAATATAACTGCTATCCCCAGCCAAAACAAGAATGTGATATCACTCATTACAAAAAATAAAATAAAAAAACACGCATCTGAACTTGAGAACGGAGTTTATCACACTAGCAATGCTAGAACGCATGCGTCTTATATGCTATCAAATGTATCTTTCACCTAACATGTTGTCGACTTTGACGCTAACTAATCTGCGCATGCGTTTGGAGCAAATTGCTTCTCTTCTTGAGAGAATGGCACCACAAGGATAGCATGAGATTTGCAAAACCATATATATATTTTTGCCATGTTATCACATTTTGCGTAGTGCACTCAGGTACCGACTGCGCCCAGCCCTCCCTTCCTGCAAGGCTAATTGATTAATTGAAATTAATTAATTAAATAAACATTAAAGTTTACACCTTATGGCGTTAGTGTATTAGTGTCTTGGTGAACAGCAGCCCCCTAAACCATTCCAATAGTGCACTCTGAACTAAAAAATAAGTCATGGAAACCATTCAATGAGAAAAATGCTAAAAATAAACAACTTACCACGTTTTTNTTGGAGCAAATTGCTTCTCTTCTTGAGAGAATGGCACCACAAGGATAGCATGAGATTTGCAAAACCATATATATATTTTTGCCATGTTATCACGTTTTGCGTAGCGCACTCGGGTACCTACTGCACCCGGCCCCCCCTTCCCGCAAGGCTAATTGATTAATTGAAATTAATTAATTCAACAAACATTAAAGTTTACACCTTATAGCGTTAGTTCAATAGCGTCTTAGCGAACAGCAGCCCCCTAAACCATCCCAATAGTGCACTCTGCACTAAAAAGGTTGAATTTGCTACAAAATGATACACAAAAGGAAGTCCAAATTATCTTACCGTTGCAGTTTGCTCAGCGTAGTCACTATTCAATGAAAGAAACAGAGAGAACAAATGAAAAGATACTTTGCTAAAATAATTGCTTTACTTCTACACTTACATCATGTTACCTGATTACTTTGGTTTTGGTTCTACGACACTCAATTGAAAACCATGCTAAGACTTAAACTGTAATGACCTGTTTACCTTTGTCTTAGAGCATCTGCCATGATCACATTTTGAGCAGCTTCCTTTATTATATGCGGGTCCTTCCAAGCTTCAAAAAGAAACGTAAAATTAGTGTCTCATCACGACACAAAGAAACTGGACGAAGGCCAGAAAATAAATTTACAAAGGAATTACAGGTAACGAGCAAGGTCAGCAATCTCTTACCAGAGGCAACCTCATATCCTGCTTTGATTTCCAACAAACAATTACGCCAGGATTCTCCGTCCTCCTTGACAGATGCTACAAATGGCACTGAACCCTTAACTGCAAGTGAACATAGTTATAACAGTCTCTATTTGTAACATTACTGTGTACAAGCTTTTTAACTCTTTTAATTTTTAGATTATTTTTTTTTTATTTTTTCCCCCTCCCCTTTTTTAGCTTTTTAAATATTTTTTTTATTTGATGTAAAGCGCCATGGACAAATAGTGGATTGGCGCTATATAAATATTTTATTATTATTATTTATTATTATTATTATATATCTTAGCAATTTCTATGGGACAGTTATCACGCTACAAAATTACACGCAGCAGTTTCAGTCAGTCTGGTGACACGTAAACTTTTTCAAAAATTCAAAATGAGAACTAAAAATATATAATAGCCATGTTTGAGTTAGAATATGAATAGCCAGAAGGCAGGAGGAGGGTTATTGCTGTAAACAACTCCTCGGTAAAGGTTAAGTCTGCGTACAAACCAAATGCCTCATCAGGCCAGAGCTATTCCGGTTTCTGTAGCATGATAGCGACTAGGAGTATTTCTACTCCCCCCTGGATGGGATGCAAGTCCCCAGCATTAAATTCGCCGGTACCCATTTATACACCTGGATAGAGAGAGGTATTGTGAGAGTAAACATTATTGCCCAAGAACACGACGTAATGTCCCCGGCCAGGGCTCGAACCCAGACCGCTTGCTCCAAAGTCGAGCGCACCAACCATAAGGCCACTGCGCCTCCAAAACTCGCCAGTAGGGAGTAAATTGATTTATCAATTACTTGTTTTATTTCCCCAAGAAAGAGAGAGTTTCTGTTTTTCTGGTATTAGTCCATTAGCATTTAAGAGAAAAAATGGATGTTTTATAGTTTACGTACAAAAAGATTAGAAGTTTCAGATCGGTAGGTAAAAAAAAAACGGGTTTTTTTTTACCTAGCTCCTAAACTAATCAAACTGAATCTTACCTTTGCTGGTTATTTTAATAGCTGTTACGCCACGAAGAAGGCGGCTTTCGGAGTATGGCTCCACATTCTTGATCTCTTCATTCCCTACGATACGAATACAGTCTTTTCTTCCATCGGGCAAGAACAACAACCTGGCGTGTAAAACAACATAAACGGAATTAACGTATTTCCATTGAACTGGGGCCCTGTCCACACTACACCAGAGAAATTTGAAAACTCAGCCATCACCGGTCATTCTGGACTTGCGTTTGATGAGACTCGGACAGGGAAATATCAAGAGCATAGTGACTTTGCAACTCATTGTTTTCGAAAAGCTCCGTTTTCAAAATGTTTTCTGTCCACAAAAACAAAACCTGGAATTTTCAAATTCCTCCGGCTTCAGGAGCGTTTTCAAAATGCTCCGTTTTTGTGACAGATTAGTGTGGACCATAGGCCTAACGGTAGAAATGCGTTTTCAAATTTCTCCAGCGTAGTGTGGACGGGGCTCGAATTGCACATCCTTGCTGTGCATAATTTGCCCTCGTTAGCGCGTGCCAACCCGTTCACATAGGCAACAGCATTGATTGCAAGCCTGTTGGGTGGCGTCGGCCAGCAATTGAACCACTTAGTTATTGACCGACTTCAAGTCGATGAAGGTAAATTAACTGCTGTAGCGAGTTTGTGAAGATGACGGTTGCTTTTAATTTCTGCAAAGTTTGCTCCGACGGGACTCCACCGGGCAGAAATATATTAACATTAAAGCAGAACTAACCTGTCGACTGTGAGAACAAGATATCCCATTCCCTCATTGGTCTTGATATGCTGCGAGATCTTCAGCACATACTGTTGAAAATTATTTATGCCAAGTCAAGGATTATTTTGCTACTAGGTAGTTACAAAAGGTAAGTCTGCATCTGGCCAAGTGGTCCATACACCCACAGCTTATCACGGTTTCTGTAGGTGAAATTCTACCCCTCGCCCACCTACCCGGAGTAAGGGGAAGTAGAAATATTACTAGGGAATGTTACTAGGAAAATTACACAAGGGGAAAATCAAAATGACAACTTTCTCAAGAACGTCTGGGCTAAATTCTTCAAGATGTTCCAATCTTGACAATGTTGACTGCCCAAATTATATATTAAGACACTGAACACAGATTAACGTACTCACCTCATTTTCTCCTAAGAGAATGTTACGAAATAAAATACTCTTGGCCTTAATACCAGCCTAGGGAGAAACAAATTTAAAAAATAAAAACAACAACACCATCAGCAGATGAACTTCTCGAGAATGTAATTGGATGGCAAAAGATACATGACTTACAGTGTAGCTTATTTCATATTTCATTCATTAAGTTATTTGTCATTTTTCAAAGACTCTATCTTCCAAACTACATAGCACTACACACATTTGGACAACAGAAGATGAACGAAATGAAAAGATGAATGAATGAAGAAACACCCTAGTGCCAGGTTTGTAATTTCCATAACTGGATAAAGAAGATCAAGAAATTTCTGTAAATCGTTACGTTAGCTACATTACCTGGCTGAAAGATTCATAGAATGCAGCAAACGTTTCCGGATCTACCACTAAAAGGAAAGGATTCAATTATAAATTATTTCCAACTCTGGGTGAAGTAAAAATTTTGTTGTTTTTTGTTGTCATCTCAACAAGAAGACTGCTATTAAAGTTTCCTCTGCAAAATGTCCCGCTAACACTTTGGATGGTAATGCCTAACTGCTATTCAGTTTCAGAAACAGATATTTTGCACATGTGAGCTAGTTCACAATGATTTCCATAAGTTCTTCTTTAATGACTTAATGCCACTGATCTATTTTTCGTTGATGCTATCACCATTTCTTGTAACATAAACTGAAACGAATAGAAGTGTAGATGCTTTCAAAGCCACTGAACCAAAATACTGAGAACTGTTGTCAGCCACCTAACATGTTAGTTGAATGATCTAACCAATTTAAACATTGATTCTCTTTCTGCTAGGCAGCTGTGACAATTTGGTCATTCATGAAGACAGTGTCCTTAAGTTCTTGATTTACTTTCAATTCTCATTAGCTGTCTACTTAATTAGCTTAGCAAACTAATGATGACGTAAGGATACCTTTTACATAGATCTCAAGTGCCGAGTGTTTTCTCATGACTGAGCTGGAAGAGTTTTACTCAAAGTCTTAAATGAACAAAAAAAACTAACAGTGTTTTCGTCCGTTTGAGAGAATCAGGAGGATGGGATATTCAAATGAAAAATCGCCTAACAAGTNTTGTCAGCCACCTAACATGTCAGTTGAATGATCTAACCAATTTAAACATTGATTCTCTTTCTGCTAGGCAGCTGTGACAGTTTGGTCATTCATGAAGACAGTGTCCTTAAGTTCTTGATTCACTTTCAATTCTCATTAGCTGTCTACTTAATTAGCTTGGCAAACTAATGATGATGTACGGATAACTTTTACATAGATCTCAAGTGCTGAGTGTTTTCTCACGACTGAGCTGGACGAGTTTTACTCAAAGTCTTAAATGAACAAAAAAAGTAACAGTGTTTTCGTCCGTTTGAGAGAATCAGGAGGATGGAATATTCAAATGAAAAATCGCCTAACAAGTACAGGTAGCCATCTTGCCAAATAACTAAATGGCAGTGTGAATTAAGTAAATGGCAACTTTTCATTGGTTTTTTTATTAATTAAAAATATTAAAAACATCTCTCGATTAAAGAAGCTGAAGGTGACTTGAAGAACTCTCAATTTATATCTCATGTTTAATAGTACAATGTCACAGATAAGGTCCGTGGAAAAATTTTGTGACAGATCTTTTTACCTTTGGTACTGGAATTCACTGTCAATGCTTCGAACAGTCTTGTTCCGGCATCTTGACTGTTAGCAATCTGTAGCATGCTGACATGCTTCACAAACTCTGCAAGAACTAACAGTATCAAGAAAATAGATGCCAAATTAATAACGGTGAAAAGGTAAGTAAAATATTAGCTTCCTACAAAGGCATTCTTATAGCTCGTCACACACTCCTCCCTAATGTGGGCAAGGAAAGATTGCGTGACAGACCCGAAAAGCGTGCAGGAAGGAGTCCAATAAAATCTCAACCTCGTTCCCAGAGCTTTTCCCAATCTCCAAGGAAAAAGCCTTAGGAACGGGGTTGGTAAAATCTGTGTTCGAAGCGAAAATGTACAAAAATGACTTGTGTAAAAGCTAGAAAACGAGCGAATGTCTCGTACAAAGCTGAACTTTTCAGTGACTCTCCTGCTTTTCGGGTAAAAACTGGAGGATTTGGAAAATTAGGGACGTTAAGCAATAGTTTTGGCAGGAACAACGGTGAGACCTATGCACGCAGTGTGTTTCACTACTTAAAATATACCATACTTTATGCAAGTGGCAACCACTTCAGTAACTCGCATCGCAGGCTCAGCTTATCACCAGAGATGGGAGGCCCACTAACAAGTGTCTCTTATTGTACAAGCTATCACATTGTAAAGATAAATTTGCTGACTGCAGTTCAGTTTCTAAACGAAAGTACAAGTAGGAACTTACCCAATGGAGTAGACGGAATTGCAGAAGTAACCACTTCTTTCCTATTAAAAAAAAAGTGTTCACTGTAATTGGCTTATCATTTTAGTACATTAATACCATGGCTACCTTTCTATCAATATCTGACGTAGTAAAATTTCAGTTTTGAATTTTCATAGCGGTTATGATATATGACAGTGACCACCTCTCGTGAAAATGTTGCGTTCAGTGTTCGGCCATTTAGAAGAGTAGAGTCAAATCAGGGCTGATTATTGAGACAGTGTGTAAAAAGGCGTGTTGATTAAAATGAGTAAGCTGCATGACATGGTGAAACTGCATGAGCCATTGAGGAGAACGCTTACCTGTCCCGTCTGAAGTCTACCTTTTCCTGAAAAAAAAATGACAACAAAAACATGAACAGTTAACAAATTCCAATACTTCAAGGCATTAAAGTTTGATAAGTTCGATACATGAAACAAACAAACAAAATCAAAATAAACGAAACCACAGCAACAATTCTAACTTGACAGAAGGCCATTTCTTAAACATTTTTTAGAGTAAAGGGACATCTTATGATCTATATCAGCAAAATACGTGAAACACTAGAGCCTCGCGTTTTCAATTCTGACCATATGATGATATAGCGATCCGCTTCCTTCCTTGCCATTGTTTGCTATCCTCATTTACTAATGGGTTCCTTTTATAACTTCAAACCATTAATGTTGGACTTCCTATCAAGCTGTGTTTCCTAAACATTTCCAAACAGTGAATCTGAACTTCAGCTCGATTACTATCCACCAAACGTACACCGGACCCGAGAAAGCGGCAGAAAACGAGCCTACTCTGAACTGTTCTGTAACTTGAATTGACCTACCTTGGCTTGCATTCTCAGGTGCTCGGCTTTCCTCCAGAAGTGTCTTGTTCGTAGGTCCCCTAATTCATGGTCGTCCAGTTTACACATGATTTCTTGCACGGTCCTATAAATTTTCAGTTCAACAAAACGCATTTCATTGTCCAGAACATGCTAAAATCAACGGCAGGCATAGACACGGATATATCGACTGACAGTTGGCGAAGGATGAAGCCCTAAACCAACCACAGTGTATTTAAGTCGATAGAAAAGGGGAGTGACGGCTCTATATCTATCAAGCAAAATATCAAATAATTCTATTTCATTTTATTTGATACTTTATTTAAAGATTGACTAGCTCCTGGTAGTAGACGACTAATGTTCAGCCAATCAGATTGCCAGTCTACCCGATATTCAGTCAGTTGGTTGTGCTAAGGTTCTAGGAATGCGTGCCCAGCAATTCTAAACATTTTCATTGCTCATACTTGGTTCTTATCGATCTAGAAAGTAGACTCGGGGCTTTGCCCTTCGCAAACTATTAGCCGAAAAACACCGCGGCTCCAGCTTGCAGTTTAACTGTTAGACCTAGCTTATCACTTGTGTAGGTTCTGCTGTTGTGATTCCAAACAATTTGTTACAATGTCGAGGAAAAGGCTGTTGTTATTCATCGTGGTAGAAATGCACCAATCACAGCCGACCTTTGTGATATAAATGATACCGTGCAATCAGTCGACCTTATCGCCTGAAGAAGACTAGCAGTAAGCAGTCGAAACG